CCTGGGGCGCCGCCTGTGCCGGGGCCGCGCCGCCAACTGCACCGCCCAGCTGCCGCTGGTGCCCTGCGGCCAGGCCACGGCGTCCGGCGTGCAGGACCTTCTGAAGGAAATCAAGGCTCAGTCGCAGGTCAGGCGCCGGCGCCGGACGCGGTCGGGAGGGGGCGAGCTTCTGCGGGGCCGGCGGGGTGGGGCGGAAATCGATGACTTTTCCCCAGGCGGGCGACACCCCAAGGAAAACTAGAATGGCATCTTGATCGTAAGGAGACGACGGGCGAGTATTTCAGTAAAACGAATGAAAAGGCGAATAAGCATTCCCGTAGTGTCTGGCATTGCACAGGAATCGTGGAGAGCCGGAGATGCGCTGCACCCTTCACCTCCTGCAGTATTCTCTCGCGTCTCACAACGCGAATACGCGGAGTCTAGGCAAAGTCGTTTGTCCAGCCAGGAGAGAGTGGAAGAATTTGTTACAATTAAATGGGTCTGCTCGGCTCTAAAGCTGCCACCCCACACTGCTTCTGGGCTTATAAAGCCCAGAGGTTCTTTTTAATTTTCTTTTGCGCCTAGCCGGTATGGGGATCCGAACCCGTGACCTTGGGGTTAAAAGCTACTCTCTAACCAACAGGTTCTTTTAAATGAACGCTCCGTTTCACCAGATTTGCAGAAATTCCACGTTTTGAGTTCTAAGGGAGTGACATTGGGCTCTTCCCTGGGCCCTTGACAGGACTTGGTCTATGGCTGACTTTCCAAGCAGCTGCGGGGATGGGGTCCGAGTGGGGTGGGGGGTGTTAGGGAGTTTACTGCCATTTCTTATTCTTAAGGGATTAACATCTAAAATTGTTGCTTGTTCATTATCGTAACTGGTGAGTAGTGCAAACTTTATCTGAAGATTTTAAAATTTCTTATTTACAAAAAGTGACTAAATTGCTGTTTTATTGTTTTCTTAAGGTGCTGGGCTGGATCCTGATAGCAGCTGTTGTCATCTTCTTTCTGATTTTTACATCCATCACCCAATGCCTATCTCCAGTTAGTTTTCTGCAGCAGAAATTCTGGAAAATCTACCTGCAACAGGAGGAGCAGATCCTTAAAAGCCAAGCCACAGAGCATGCAACTAAATTGGCAAAAGAGAATGTTAAATGTTTCTTTGATGGCTGTCATCCGAAGAAATGCAACACCCCAAGCATTAAAGACTGGCAGCAAATTTCATCACTATATACTTTCAATAGGAATAATCTGTACTATAGCATGTTGCACAAATATGTTAGCAGAAACGAGAGGAGTCACGGTATCAGCTCTTGTGAAGGAGATGCAATGATTCCTGTTCTTGGCTTTGTAGATTCTCTTGCTATAAACAGCAATGTTGAGCTATATGACCTTACGAATACATAGAAAAAAGATGTTTTGAATTATTGCTTTGTTTTTCAAAAAATAAACATCAGTATTGTTTATGACTGCTTTTTTCCCTTCCAAATTGTGGAATTTTAGATCTGAAATTAAAATGCAAATCTTAGCCTCTTTATTATATTAATTATTTAAAACAAAGAAATGATCTTCCTGACGATCTTCTGTGTTTGTTCGTTAGCAACTATCAGAACTTCTCTTAGGTGTTTGTGGGTGATTTGGGTGGGTCCGGGTTACTCACTTTGCAAGCTAGTTCTTTTGGTTGAGGCACGGCTGAGTTTTTGTTTGGTTTATCTTTTCTAGTCTTGGAGCTTGGTTAGTACAGAGAGACCTTTTCCTCACCTCTCAGTTTTTTCAGAAAACACTTCTCACCAGTACATGTCTGTAACTTTATATATATTTCTAAGTAATGTAATCGTAGTTATTTGTTGTATTCCACTTTTTTAAATTTCAGAAACTTAAATGAGTAAAGAATCATCTTGCGAAAAAAATAAAATAAAATAAAATAAAACAAAGAAATGAGGGAAAATGATTCACCGAAGTGACAAACTGGAACTAGATTAGAAGTCTTATACATATCCCCATTCTAGGGTCCTTTTCAAATAGAAGACTTTAGTAGCAAAAACAGTGAAAAAAACAAAAGAACTTCAGACCTTTCTGTTAGGTTATCTGATGTTAATTTCAAGTTCACTGTCTCACCAACTCTTTCTTAGGGACTTAAAAATCGTAGCATCCTCGCTGGCTAAGTGGTACAATAAACAGCACATTGGACTTCTAGCCAAGCCTGCTGTGGTCATTCAAAAATTACAGCATATTATGGGTCTAATAAGGTTACTATAAAATGAATTAATCATGAAAAGGAAAATAAATGTTTTAAAATATGAAATTTGAAAAAGTAGTGTAGGGCTTCTGGTCAAGATGGTGGAATAGATGGTTCCCAGCATCACTCTCTCCCACAAATCAACCAATTTACAACTATTAAAAAGCAACAACAGCAAGCTGGGGCTACTAGAGCTCAGGGAAGAGGAGGAGAGACCTACGGAGTTCATGAAGATAGAAGAAGCCACGATGAGAAAAGAACTGCTCCCACTATTTTGAGCCCGGCTGCTTCAAGGCTGGAGCAGCTGAGCACACGGAGCAGGAGCTGGCAAAAGCTGCAGCTGTGCCCTTCGGATGGAGTTGTTTGGAGGCAGCAGGGGAGAAGAGGGCCTTGGTGGCCCCCAGGCCAGCAAGACCACCAATAGGGTTCACTTGGACCCACATAGGAGCAAGGAGCCACAAAAACTGAAAAAAGGAGCCACTCAGAGGCCAGTGAGTCATTGCAAGGGACCAGCGTATGGCCCATCACATGGGAAGTGTTTGGAGTGCAGGCGGTGGGGGAGATGGGCCTACTGGGGGAACACTGGGGCACAGCAAAGACAGCTGATCTGCCCTCCAATCAGTGCAGGACCATTCAGTGGAGATTGGTCAGGAATATAGAATTGCATGGGGTGCAGTTTGCTGAAAGGACTCAGGTCCACCCGAGAGTTTCTACACAACCCAGGTGTACCCAATCTCACTAGACCCAGAAGCACTTACAAAATCAACCATTAAAACCTGAGCTGTGCAAAAAGCCTTCCCCACGGAATCAGCAGCAGAGCAGCAGTTTAGCTCAACCACAGGGCTCGAGTGCTGGTCCCCACAGGAAGTTTCCCCATTTTGGAAGTAAGCAAAGGACAACAAATTAGTTCCAGTGCAGACTTTAAGTGCTGGAATCAGTGAATAATCCAACACAGAACTGAAAGAAAAAACAAAATACCCACAGACCAGGGACATTTGATATTAACTAGTAAAGGCCTCACTTCACCAAAGAACACCTACAAAACCTGGAAGGACTTGAAGTCCCTGGAGCCCCAAGCCAGGGAGGGGGGAGGGCCGGAGGCCTCAGCCGTGTCCCCCGACTCCCACAACCAGCCCAGCTATGACCACTGAGCCACCGCAGGAAACACCCCAGGCTCCTGAGCCAGGGCAGTGGGGGGCCAAGGGCTTTGGACATACCCCCTGACATCTGCATTCAGCCCAGCAATGACAAAGCCACCACTGGAAGCCTCCTGGTCTCCCCTGCAGGAATGAGGGGGGTGCCATGGGCCTCAACCACAGCCTCCCTCCTTCCTCCTTCTCACACCCTATTTCCTTCTCCCTTCCCCTCTGCCCCTCCCACCCAACTGCTCTGCAACAACATCTTAGAATGTAAACACAGATGGAGCTGGGAACTGGCTCCTCCTCCTGCAACCAGTGCCTCCTCCCTGCAACACTGCTGCTGCCACAGGGTCCACCCGGGGTCCTGAGGCTTGGAGTCGGGGACTGACCTTCCTCTCACAACCAGGCAAGGAGCATGCCAAAAACACCACTTCCGTGTGGGTGGCCCACCATAGCCACCACAATAGCCACGGTGGCCACAAAAGCAGCTAGATGCCATGACCACCATGCAGATGGCCCGCCAGCCACTCAAGTGCATTGACACAAGGAGAGTCATGAGCAGAGACCAAAGAAAAGAAGAGGACATCTCTCTCCACAAAGCCCATTCCAGAGTGACAGAAGAAGCATCTACTTTATGGTAATAGTGGGGGACCTGAACACACTTCTCAGCATTGGACAGATCATCTAGACAACAACTCAACAGTGTAACTGTTACTGTTTCAGAAGGAGAGAAGAAATCTAGGGTTATCAGAGGTGGGAGGGGGAGGGAGAGAAGGACGGGGGGAAATTGGATAAGGGCATAAAGAATAAGTATGATTTGTCATAATGTATATGCTAATAATATTGATTTGATCAACATATGTCAACATTGAACCCCCAAAATATGTATGATCAATTATGATCAATTATGATTCAATTAAAAAAAAAAGAAAAAGTAGTTTAGGATTATTACATTAATAACTTGTTTTCAGTTTTTAGGATCAAAGGAAAAATTTTAAAGCTATTTGTTACAGTAAACTGAAAATATTTAAACTTAAAGTAGAGAGGGTGGTATTGTGAGCCCTTCATATAGGCATTACATAGCTTCAGCAGAGTGGGGAGGTCAGATAAAACCCATACCATACAAATAAATATAAAAATACAAATTGTGACCTGATTTAGATCAGGGGAGGAGGGGGTTGGGGAAGCCTGTGAGAAACTGAAATCTGTAGAATAGAGAGAAGAGCATTTCTGTCAGAAGGAACAATCTGTGCAAAGACTGAGGTGAGGTAGATGTTAGCACAGTGGGAAGCCTTAAAGGGGACTGGAAGAATGAGCAAGGGACAGATTATGCAGCAAAATGAAGCCATGTGAGGGATTTTGGCTTTCATCCTATGAGCATTTTAGGAAGATTAATCTGCTTTTCTTGAGGAAAAATGAATGGCAGGAGAGAGAGAAAGATCAAGGGCGGAAGAGGAGTGACTAGTCTGGAGGCTGCTGCAGTGGAAATACGCGTATGAACTTGAACTGGCTTGACGTTGATCAAACAGAAAAAAGTGGATAGGTTTAAGCTAGATTTTTGTACTTAGACATGGCAGGATTTGTTGTTGAACAAGTGGAGGATCAAGTGAAAGCAATGATATCTACAGAAAAAATTACTTGACAATGCCAGGACTTTTCAGGGACATTTGTCTTCCATTAGCTTACCATTCTTGCCCATCCTTTAAAGTTATGGCTGTTTTCTGCATTAAAAAAAAAAGAGATATAAAAACCTGCAACTGTAAAACAATTGAGCACTCATTATATTTAGCCCTTCCTCTCTTGGCAGACCCTAGTGCTGGCTTCTGCTTGCCTCTTTTTCATAGGGCTCTTAAAAAGGCCGAGTCAGCAGGACTGAATATCCTGTTGTTGAGAGTCATATATAACAAGAAAGCTGGCAGCAGAAACTGCATGATCAGTTTTTTTCTATTCCCTAAGAGAATACTTTTGAAAATCATATCGTGTCTAATTTCATTTTTGCTTCCTAATTTCATTTTTCAATTTCTTTCTGTATATTTTCTCCTTTCAAAACTTTTTTTTCTGGTCTACTATTTACACTTGCATCTTCAATAATATCACATTGTCTTCATTTTGTTGATTTATGCTCCAGTTTCTCTTGTACAGTCTTTAATAATTATTGTGAAAAATGCTTAAGATTAAAATTATGATAGAAAACTGTGAGAAGTAAAAAGTAAAACTACCTCATTCCTTTGTAATATATGCTTCCCAGAGGTAGGCATATACTCTGTGTCTGCACAAACATTGTCATAATATAAATGTTGTTCTGTAACATTTTCACATAAATATCATTGTTCCATGTCAGTACATACAATTTACCTCATTTAAAAAACTACTACATAGTATTCTACTAGTTAGTAGGATATGATCCCTTTTTTGTTAAAACACATACACACATACTGCACAAACTCATAAAGTGTATGAAGATATGCACCCAAATGTCAAATGTAGTCACTTCTGGAGACTAAGATTTGTTCAGGGTATTTTTTTTAAACCTCATGTACTTTGGCCTTGGGATTTTTTTGTAATGAATAATAAATATTAACTGTATAATTAGAAAAGATCAAAAAGTGGGGCTTTAGAGTCAACAAAGCAGTTTTGCATATGTCACCTCATTTCATTTTTGTGGGATACCCATAAAACACATCACTCACATTTACACATAAGGAATTGAAAGAGAGGCAGCATTACTAGTCTAATGTTACGTGGTCAATAAACACAAAACTGAAGTGAGGGGGCTGATCCTCTCTAGATCACGTGGTTGGAAGTGGCCTCTAGGCTGTTTTTACTACTGGGCCAGATTTTTTCCTTTCTAGCCCATGTGCCTTTGTAAGCAGAAGAGATACAGAGGTCTGTAGTGACCCTCAATATTTTACATTTCGTCCTAAGACTTGTAAACTCCTGGGAGATAAAACCACTTTGATTAACATAGTGAGACACAGTACAGTTATTTCACGGTGGGAACGTGGTCACTGCTATTTGGCAGGATACACCACTCCTCCGGGCCTGGCCCCAAATAGGCAGCATCACGGGCTCAAGAAGCATTTCTACACTTGGTGTGTATTTATTTGCTGGTTTACTAAATGATTCTTGAAAATCACCCCCAGCTTTATGCTCTCCTGAAATCTTAACCTGAGAAGAGATTCAGACACAGCATCTGCTATTAATATTTGCTGAAAAACAGCCATATTATTATAAGAGATGATTCCACATTGTATTGCATACTGGCAAGACGATACAATTATAGGGCCTAAGATTAAGCCTGGTATCCTTGCTCCATCCAAAGCCACGGCTAGAAATACCAGTGCTCTGTGACCTGATTAAAGAAGCAAGTTCCTTGGAGGGAAGCATCTGAAAACAGAATTAGCCACATATCCAAATGTCTCTGGCTGAAAAACATCTTGGAATCCCTAAGTTTCATAACATTGTGCATCTTATCTACCAGGTGGCCTATTGTAAGTAACTCTTCCTAAGATAAAAAGATGGAGAAACACTTCCTGTCTGAGTCAGTTCCAGCAGCAGCCACCACTGCCTATTTTGT